CATTAATTATGCATTCGTTTCATCGAGATTAAGTATAAATAAAGGTTTCTTTGCAACACTCTATGCATAATTAATGTTGGGGTTCTATGGAACTCTTGCTAACGTCTGTATTTCTGTATTCTGATTTCTGTATCTTTATTGGCGACCTTAAAGTCAATTGGTTAATTCAAATAGACAAAACCCCACTTCATAACTTGTTCATGAGAGACCATAATTACAGACACTTAGTCTCATGCTATACTACTGATAACAGGACCACCATTGGCCATATCTATACTAATTTGCTGGAATCAGAAGTCAATATACACATTTTAGAAACATATTTCCGACGGAATATAAAGCAATATGTGCATTTATTCAAACAACGGGACCTAGTTGTAAAACAAACATTTCATAAATGTCTAAGAACATGATGAAATTGAAATAGTATGCACAGTGATATATAGATTTAGCAAAGCCTAATAGCACTGTAATATAGCTTCGAAAACTCTACTTTAACAAATTTGTAGAAAGCAGATGTTTTTACATGTTTCCAGTAGTTTTGCGAGGTATGTAATAACTGTATATTTTTATCACCAATCCTCATACTTCTTCCCTTTTTCCTTTCTTTTTTGAGAATTTCTCTTTTTCTTTCGATTTCAGATACTAATATCTCGCATTACGAGACAGGTGAACATGGCTGACCAAACAGCCAGTGATACTGGACAGAGAGAGAATAATTGTTTTATTAAAAAAACGCCCCCAAGATATTAGACAAATCTTCTCGACTTTATTTTGTAAGAGGAAACCGGATGTTACAATGTACAGATATTAGATTATGGTATATTGGCTCATATACCATAATGGCTAAGCCAATAAAAGGTCTTGAATTGCATTATCCAATGATCCAGTTTTTAATAATGATCAGATACCTGATGAATCTACTACACAGAAAAACCTATGTGACCAGGCAACCACAGAGTTTGCAGGATACATACACAATATTTCTCCACGAAAAAAGGGAAGTTACTTTGACTGTCAACTTCGAGGTAACGAAAAGACTGTCCGAGAGTGTGCTTTTTTGCCACCAAAACTGAAGAGATTTACAAGCCTGAGTCAAGCGAACTCCCCAGTGAAAATGAAGAAGTTCTGCATTGACACAAAATCAAATGCAGAAGATTTGCTGATGGGTAATGATGTAACCATTGAACATTTTCCAGCGATAGACTTTGATAAGGTTAAACTTCCCACAAAGATGGACCTGTCCACCATCAAATCTGTGTGTCCTGGCCAAATAATTACAGTAACTGCCAAAGTTACCCAATTGTATTCTTCAAAGACTGTGGGTTCCAACTCCTACAACTCCAACATGCCATTATTGCTGATCCCTCAGGAACCATGAATATGACATTATGGGAGAACTTTGTTGGCAGCATTAAGCAAGGTGACATGTACACCTTCCGTGATATTTTTGTACAGAAAATAAGATGAGCCATGAAATCTGTCTAAACCCTGCTAAATCTAAACTGTTTACTTCGCCACCCATCTGTAGAGCTGATAATCGACGAAGTAAAGTAGTTGAAAATGTTAGTCGAGGGTCGGAAAGGGGGGGGGGGGTGTCGTGCACGGTTCACGGGAATTAAAATTCACGGTACACGGGATTAAAACAGACTTTTCACGAATAACGCACAATTCAGCGCTTGATTTAATTTTTCACCCATGTACTACACAACTGACGTGTAGACCATTTTGAATTATTGCATGGACATTAAATAATTGTTTTTCTCGCTATAAAATACTAAATTTACACTAGTTCACAAGTGTATGCCTTGGTCTACACAAACAGAACTGGTTACACTTCATTACTTGCAATTCTTTGGTGTTGTGCGTACGTGCGAGAACAATATCTTTGTCAGTATTGTCAAAGGTCTCATAAGGCAATGACATAGCTGCTAAACCGTGACAGACCACACAAATAAACTGTTCACATCAGTCGCCGGACAACTCCGACCATTCGATCACTACTTGTCTGTATGCCACGGAGAAAGGTCAGTACATCTTCATCATCGCTCAGGTGTTCACTTACATCAGAATCTGTGTCATATTCTTGCACTTGTTCGGAGTTATCGGAAACGTCAGAAGAACCATCATACTGTTGATCATGCTGCTGAATGTCAGAAGCTGTAGTTTCTACATCATCTGGAGAAGGTTGAGCTGGGAAAACTACTTTCTCTGCTGGTGTATAGGAGGAACGGTACATATTGAGAAGAAGTGTCCCGGCCTTAACCTTTGTGGTCTCCTGGCGCACGCTGCGCTGACGGACGGCCCTCCCTTTGTCAGAAGCCCATTCTCTCATTTGGTCTTTCTATGTGGCATTGAGCCGCTGCCTCGTTAGCTTATGATTACCTTTGTTCATTCCTCCAAGTTTTTTATCTGTCGCTCATTTCTTTCCACCTCTTTACCCAGCTTAATATTCTTGACGAGTTGTTCATCCTCTTCCTTCGCTGCAGATCTCTTCCTTCCTGGTTTTCCCTTCTCCCTTGCAGACTTTACAGTTCTTGGCTCCACATCGCCACCGGCCACACAGACTAATGATAGGAGTTCCCTTGGCGAGCACCACCTCCCTCTTCAGAACGTTAACTAACAATAATCTAAAAATTTATACCTCAATATAGCACGGCATTCATGCAATTTCAATTTGGATTTTATATAGTTTTGATCTCAAGTGGGCCGCTATGTACTATTTCAAATCTCGCGGCGCTGAACAAGAACGCGCGATTTGGACTTTTTGACTTGAAGCATGGGTGGCACTGCAGCCACAAACCAGTCTTTACCAGTTATTTTCCTACTTAGATAGGAAAGCACGATCAATTAAAAACTGTTTAAGTGCTAGTGCCATCCTACTCGAATTTTAAAAGTCTAAATCATTAGGACATTTCTAATAATTGCCGTTGTGCAAGTCCAATTTGCGATTATCTTTTATTTAATAGAAAGAAATATAAAGTTAATTATTACCCAGGTATGAAAGACATGCTACGTGACATTGATGCAATGTCTGTAATTATTGAAAGATGACGAACCATGCAGAACCATTCCTCGGTGACTGAACATGGATCTTTCTTCATCCCACTGCGCCTGGGTATTTATTGCATAGGCCTTGTTACCAGCTGGTCCTTTCTCTAAGCGGCATAGTTTGATATTGACGCTGGACCCGAGGCCTCGTTTTTGAGCTTCCTCCCTGAGGCCTGCCTGTTCTACCACGTGCTTTACAAACACTTGCAAAGAGCAGTGCTTTCCCGATAAAGGAATACGCACACGCTCTTTGCTACCAACAAACGCATTCATTGCATTTGAAGATGTTGTTGGATCCACATAATAGACAACACCTTCCAAAACTTGAAAAACACTTCCCTCAATGTCCTCACTTGTACTTTCGCTCGCCATATTTGACCATAAAATCATTACAGGTCACTGTGGAGTTATCCATGCGAGTCATGTGACGTCTAGACATGTCTAGGATTGGTAGTCTTGGTAGTGCGTGACGAGCCTGGCATTTTGTTTACATACTTGACCTTGAAATATCAAGTTCTGAATTCTGAAAGGCGTGACTACTATGTACATTCGGAAAATTTCACTAAAAATGAGCTAATTATAGACCATGTTCACGAATCTCGAGAAATAAATTAGTTATTTCACGAATCACGGGAGTACTTTCGTTCACGGATCACGGGAAATAATTTCGTTCTTTCACGATTCACGGCAATTAAAAATAGGCATTCACGATTCACGAAAAACCCCCTTTCCGACCCTCTTAGTCAGTAAACTGCCATGTTTTTATTGATATTAGTTCCTCATTTTGTTGTTGTTACTTCACAAGTTGGATGAAAGCTTCTAAAATGGACAGAAACTGTTCATATTTCTTATGTATTACATGTACATTGGAAAATGAGAAGACAAGAATGACAGCAGAATGTCAGTCAGTAAACAGCCAAATTATTATAGTTATTAATTCGTCTATTTATTGTTGTTAATTCACAAGTTGGATGAAAACTATTAGTTGAAGTTACACAAACTGTTATTTACAAGTAGACTGGCAAGGAAAGAATGACATCACAATGAAGCTTACTTTAAAATCATTAGATCGTATTCACCAAGTCGCTAAGCTAACTGGGTATTCTGCTGAAGTTTTTTAAAACTCCCAAGCAGACGTAGAATCTATGCTGTTTACTTTGCCATCCTTTTATAACTTATAGTTGATGAAGTAGAGTAGTTGAAAATCACTAGACCGTTGAAAATCACTAGACTAGTTGAAAGTCACTAGACCGCCATTTAATCATTCTTATGAATTATGCATTTTATAAATTTTAATTCATATGTAGGAAGAAACATGCCTCTTTAAGGAGGCTCCAAAGGGTTTTTTTGACCGCGCAGAGAATGAATTCCAAGATACACGCAAGCAAATTACTCGCGAGAGTAAGAAGCGATGGCGCGCGCGATCAGATCCGAGTTGTAAACAAACATGGCCGCCATGAGCGTTTCAAAATTGCCGGGTACCTCTATTGTTTCCAGCGGAAGTGGTTGTTTGAGAA